GACCCGAAAGGAGAAGCGGCGATGGAAGATGAAGATGAAGATTCCAGACGGGCTTCAAATATAACACCCTAAAATCATTATCAGAAAATAACTGCAATTAAAATTCTTTCCACGTTCAAGTTATTGCCGAAACACACTGTTAAGGAATAACCTAACCGTTTGGCTACTCGTAAAATGAACAATTTATTTGGCTTGAACCGTGTTAGATTTCTTGCTGTAGTGTATACTATCAACCGTCAATTTTCCTTTAGTTTAAGTTTATCTAATATTTATTGTGCGCTTCTTTTTGCGTAATGAGAATGTGCCTTATCACGAAGGTACTTTAAAGTAAATACTTCTTTCTTTCTGCTATTTATGATTATCCGATTGATCTGATAGCAGAAATACTTAGAAGAAATGTAAGTAATAAACAGCTGTCATTAAATCGGATTCGTAAGCCGCCGTTATTCCGCTCCCCCTGATCTTAATAGCCCAAAGAACGGCTTAAGAAATCCACCACTCCATATACATTGGGTCGAACTAATGATTCACTGATCACTAAGACTATACCGTCACAGATATTAATGTACGATAAAATGGGAGAAACGTGTGCCCTTGTGACCGTTTTACCAGAACCACTGGCCTCCTTACCCGATTAATCCCGGACTGCTTTAAATGAAGTAGAGAAGGCACATAGAGAATTTCGAACTACCATTGAAGAGGAGTAAAAAACAAGGAAGTTTGTTACCAATGGGATTCGGGTTTCCTTACACCTGTGTGAAGAATATTATTTGGTAAACCTTTATGTCAAAAATTTGAGTGCAACACCGACCGCGGTTGCTATGTCACCAACCGGTGTTTCAAAATATTCCTACTGAACATATTCTAACACCAGCGAATAGCCTCCGTTTATAGGCATTGTTATCAGCCTCTTTTGATCTACTGTTGAATGAATGCCTCTCCATCGATTTGCCGCAAACTTCTGTTTTTTGTGATTAGTATTCATTTTTGTCCAACCAACTTCTTTACTTCAACCTGCCATCGATCTGGGTGTCTTCTAGACTTCAGTCTAGTATTTCTTTGCTCCAGCAATAGCCGGTTCTTCTTGCAACGTGCCCTGCTCGTTGCCACTTTAACTTTTTCACTCTGGCGACGACAGAGCAAACTCTTGTTTGTGGTTCCATTCATTCATTCATCTGCCCATCTTTTCTTGTTATTATTCCCAACAAACATCTTTCCATGCTGTGTTTCGTAGTCTGCGGTTTGTGAATTTAGGCTTAGAGTTCACATTTCACATCTAGCATTAGCTCTGGGAGCACCAGCGACCAAAAACTTCACTAGCACAAAGGCGGTTTGCCGGACATGAAGATCTTCAGCCTTCCAAAAGAGATCAATGCTACTTTTATTTTACTCCGACTCACAGAATCAGATATCCGCTGGAGATATAATCTCTTCCATTTAGACTTAGTCCTATACTTCTTCAAGATTAAGTCCACTGACCTCAACAACTTGTCAACCAGGTGTTTGCTAAACATGACCTATGTCTTTTTCAGGTTCATTTTCAGTCCTGCTTTGATGCTGACATCGTTTCTTTTGTATTCTTCTTTGGAGATTTTCTGGTGACCTAAAAAGACATGAAACTGTGTCGAAGGATTGCAGGGAGCCTAAACTGTGTCGACTGTTCATTTATTCTTGTAGCTGGAAGCGTAGCAGCACGACGACGGCAGCCAGAATTCGACACGAAAGCGGTGAAGGTGCCAGTCAGCAACGGAGACGCGGCTCGATCTGAAAAGAGGAGGAGGAGGCACGATGCTATCATAGGAGGTATATAAGGTTCCATACAAACATTACCGACAGTAGAAGTTCACAGTCAGAAATTGGAGCATCTCCACACTCAGAGAGAAATAGCCTAAGCTGGTAGATGATGCCACAGGATCCGACTGGACGCTGAACAACGAAGCGTCAGGGCTCTGCAATTCTGAGCTTCTGCGTATAGTATCTATCCTGCTTAGGTACCATCTCCACCAGTCGACACTGATGTTCTGGTGAAACTGAACTTGACTCACAGAATCATCCAATGGGAGTTTGTCAGCGGAAGAACGGCAATCTTCCAACTGAAGTTACAATGGGCTAAAGCTATGATCTTGTTGCAAGTATATTCACCTAATACGAATCCTTCCAGGAGGAAGCAGAATGTACTTTGCACGAAGTGCCAACAACGGAGTCCATCATTCTGATAAGCGTTTCACTGCGCATGTCAAAGCAGACAACAATGAGTGAAAGGTATTGAAGGAATGGCCTTAGCGACCTCAAGGATTATTATAATGGTTATTCTTGTTAAGACAGACTCACAGCTGCCAACTGATCGTGACCTCACTGTTTGCAACCCCCGATGCGAAAACCTCATGGCAGCAGCAACCGGACAATCAAATTTGTAGCAGCATCTGCGGATATGATGACAAGAGTTGCAAAATCTATCGCTTGTACAGTTTGGTTTGAACAAATTCCTGTGACGACGGGTGACGTGGAAAACAAGTGAAGGTTCTTGAAGAGCTGCTTACTCGTGGCTGCGCCGAACGCCACGATTTAAAACGGATTGGCCCATCGTTTGGGATCGGAAACAAACCTCCTCTTGGATACCAAAGATTGAACTGGCCTTCAACTAAAAGAATGCTGCCTTCAAGAACTTGATTGAAAGCAAAGAGCATTCAACTCAAACGCTGTACAAGAAAGCCCTCAGGGCGGTAGTGAAAGCCAATACTTAAAGAAAGCTTAACGCAGTGCTGGAGTGGAATTAAAAGATAGAAAGCAAGGCATTGTAACAGCCAATCTGCCGTCTCTGAAATGGAAAGAAAAGCAATTTCAGTGTAATGAAGGAACAGCCGGAACACTTACTTAGCAATGAAGAGGATATACTTCAGCGTTGGCAAAAGTACTTTGAAGAATTTCTTACCTTGAGCCAACAAGAAGACTCGCCTGAAAAGGGTGGGCCATGTATATTATTCTTTCAGTAGATGAAGTCACTGAAGCTGGCAAGACTGAAGGAATACAGGAAATCCACTCTGAATTATTTTAAGCCTCAAGTGAACAAGCCATGTTGTGCCTAATACGTGTCTGCCAAATTGCGATGGCTCGGCAAAGAAGTAGTAGACTTAAAGATGAGGTTGTAGAACCCTGTTTAAAAAATAACACCATTAGAAATGCTCAATTATCAGGCGTTGCCTAATTAATCTTCCCCGAAAAAAATTCATGCATAGGCATTGGAAAGAAAGTGCCCCGCAATAGTTCACTGTAAGGTTCAAGAACAGCAGTGTGGCTTCAGGCTCTGCCGAAGAAACTCTGATTAGATCTTGCCTCGCGCAAAATTCTTGAGAAGTCGTGGGAGTTCGCTAGTCAATATGTTCATTACTGCCATGGATAAAGTCTATGATCGGTTCACGCGCAATAAACGGCGGATGCCTGCAAACGCAAAAGATCGATGGCCTGCTGGTGAGAGTCATCCACTCACTCTATGATGATAGTGAGTGCGTCAGGTTGTGCTCTGTAACCTCCAATATTTGTTGTGCATGGATATAGCAGTCAGGTGCAGCAACGCCGAAAACGTGTCAGCGTTGGAAATGTTGAGACGGAAAGTTTGCTCTTTCCAGACGACACATTTACCGAAACTTTTCTCCAATGCTATGCAAATGAGTAGGATTCAACTGCTATGAGTGTGAGCGTGTCTCTAAGGTAAAATCGAATATTTTCTGATACTCCTGCCAGTTTGACTCTGCAGATAAACAGTGCACCTGGTGAAGAAGTTCACTTATCACACTGCCTTGCCAAAAATTGGAAGTGATTGACTGGCAAATTTCAATTGCCAGCGACTACTTGTGTGAATTAGCCCCAATCGTTGACATTAATGAACAGCTAACTCTGAAGACTGAATTTTCTGTCTTCGAATCGATCTTCGTTCCCATGCTTACCTACAGTTATTCATTATTAACTACAGCTAAACAGTTTCGAAGTTGCGTACAAGCGGCTGAAATGGGCCTTTTGAGACTAATCGCTGGGCTGACACTTTTCGAGATGGTCTGGAGCTCAGATATCCATGAATAGCCGCTGGTTTTGCAATCCGAGCAGTCACAATTGCTGCACTCTGGACCGTCCTTCAAATGTTTCTAGAAAGAAAGCCGAACCAGGTGCTGTTTGCTCAACCGAGTTGGCGAAGACCCTGGGAACAGCCAAAATAACGGATTGCAAGTAACTCTAAGGACCCTATTCAAGACTTGGCTGTCTTTGCGCTAGCTGAAACGCGTGCACGATATCCAGAACATTTTAGTCATTGTCTGGCGCGTCTGCCTGCAAGAGTCGAAAGAATTAGTGGTTAATGACTGATTGATCAACGATGTTTCTTCAGAAATGATGTTCAAAGTTGAAAATAAATATTTCATCATCCTTCTGCAGCGACTAAAAATTCTGATACCATAAAAAAATTTTTTTTCGTAATTCATTTTCATCAGATTGGCTCAGTATGTACTTCCGTTCTCTGGCTAATGACGCACAGCCGCCACCAGTAATGAGATTTACGGGGTTGTCATATATCCCGAGATTGCCCTTCACGAACATAAAACGACTTTGTCACCAATTTACAATGTCAATTTTGGCAGTAAGTACGAACTAGAATAAATGGGATGTTGTAGTTGCCGCGTCAGTTTACGCGACTGCTGAATACTTGTCTATCAAGAAAATTATAATCTAATAAACCATATCTATCTCCATTAGGGAAAGTGCCACAGATATCTCACAGAAACTTATTTGATGCGAATAGGAACAAAAGTCTTAGCCGAGTACGCATTGCCTGTCATACATTTTGCTCTTGAAGATTGACGCGCTAAAAGAAAAGTCATACACTCTTGCAATTTGGTATATTTTTTGGTTGAAGGGCGAGGGGCAGCAACTTCAACACTTGAATCGGTGCGATTGTGCTTTCTTCCCCATAGAAGCGTTTCACAGGCCAAGAATAAACAAGAAATAATGTTAGGCTAAGTTGAAGAGCAGCGCATAAGATATAACAGCAAAATTTCTACCGCATTCTGGTGACTACCGGGTGAATGTCGAAGTACAGTTGGCTGATCGTGCAGTACGACTTTCACACGAACAATAAATGACTGTTGCACATCAATAAACATTCAGCAGTTTCTTCCTAGACTTTTATTTATTTTATTTTTACTACTATTCTTTTTTTAATCAACGTATACAGGCTTTGATGTTCTTCAAAATACTGTTCTTCCTACTCTCAACATTTCTTGAATTATCAACTTATAATTAGTTGTCAAAAGGAAGCTGTTTTACGTAGCGACAACTTCATTGCATTATAGTGCTTGTAGCGTT